ATATCCTCTTTTCTCTAGACAGTCACGTTTATCCCCACGCTTGTCTGCCAACACCGAAAGATCAAGTTAATACTGAAGAGCGCCACCTATGGCGATACAACGATCTCTTTCCATTATCCACCAAATCACATAGTCCGTTGAATGCTTTTCGTTCAAACGTATAGTGGAGAACACAAGAGGTGAAGCATGATATAAAACCAATTTCGGTGTTGAAAATTAACAACCGCCAATTCCCTCTTCTGGTTAACAAATACTAATAATACTATAATAAACAATATCAAATACTATAGAGGAATTCATTTACACTGAGATTTAACTATTTTCGTTGTATATTCACGGATGTGAAACAGTGACTTAAATTGAAATTGTACATGTTCACATGAATTTAATTTATTGAATTTATTTTCAAATTATCACCGGTGAAGGCGCTATATAAATCTTGCATACGTCTGCAGCTGCCGATGATGGCGTTACATAACTTGGAATTTAGCAGGGATAGTGTAATTTCTATACCCAATATCAGACCCAATAGAAATATATCATAACTTTCTTACCAGATATTGTAGAGTATATGTCATCTACTTTTTGCTTTGATTATTATTACAATGGGTAATTAGAAACCGAAATGAAAAAAATGAGAATTGTCATTTCCATACTCAAAGTATTACTAAATAATGTGAAATTATAGAAAATGTTTATATATTATAATGGGTGCAAACAATGATAACACCCTTATACAATAATACGTTTATGGTAAATGAGTAACAATTGCTTTTATACTTTAGTATTCTAAAGAATTGGGCATATAATCCCACGTCATTGAAACTTACATATTACTATTGTAATATAACATTTAATATAACAAATATCAGTACTTGAATGTGTTATTAATGATACGAGTATGGGACTGTTCACCGTGTTAGAGTGAGTTGTGTTTGCCTCTAAGTGATCTGGTCTCTTGCAGTGTACTTACAAACGAGTAAACGACGTAATTTTCAATAACAAAAAACACTACAGAAAGCATCCAATATTTTCTCAACTGATTTATTAAATAGATAAACAATTAATATTATCGCGCTGATCCTCCGATAACTGTCCTAAGAACAAATCATTATCAATTTCAGTCGCGCTGATCCTCCGATAACTGTCCTAAGGTCAAATCATTATCAATTTCAGTCGCGCTGATCCTCCGATAACTGTCCTAAGAACAAATCATTATCAATTTCAGTCGCGCTGATCCTCCGATAACTGTCCTAAGGTCAAATCATTATCAATTTCAGTCGCGCTGATCCTCCGATAACTGTCCTAAGAACAAATCATTATCAATTTCAGTCGCG